GATCTGTGACCAGTGGTGTTCTGCAGGGATCAGTGCTTGGACCCCTGTTGTTTGTAATAATTTAGAGGAAATATGTAGATTGTCGAGTAAATCTGCAGACAACACAAAGATTGGAGGAGCTGTGGATAATGAGGAAGATTCCCCAGAGGATACAGCAGGATACAGATAGCCTTGAGACTTGGGCGGAGAAATTGCAGATGGAGTTTAAGCCAAACAAATGTGAGGTGATGCAGTTTGAAAGATCTAATGCAGGTGGGAAGTATATGGTAAATGGCACAACCCTTCACAGCATCAAACATAGAGATCTTTGCATACAGGTTCAATCGTTTTCTGGAAGTAGCAACACAAATGGATAAGGTGGTCAAGAAGGCATATGGCATGCTTGCCTTCGTTGGTGGAGCAGTGAATAGAAAATTTGCCAAGTCATGTTGCAGCTGTATAGAACTTCAGTTAGCCCACATTTAGAATATTGTGTATAGTTCTGTTGCCAAACGACAAGGAGGATGTGGAGGTTTTGAAGAGAAATGGTTTACCAGGATTTTGCCTAATTTGGAGGATATTAGCTATGAGGAAAGATTGGAAAAACTTGGTTTGTTTTCACTTGAACATCGAAGGATGAAGGGTGACCTGATAGAAGTTTACAAAATTATAACAGACATGGATAATTGGAGTCTTTTTCCTAGGGTAGAAATGTCAATAACTAAGGGATATAGGTTTAAGGTAAAAGGGGCTAAGTTTAAAGGAGCTACGCGAGGCAATTTCCTTTTACACAGAGCTGGCAAGTGCCCAGAATGCATTGCCAGAAGAGGTGGATAAAATGACAATATTTAAAAGATAGGTATATGAAAAGCCAGGGAATAGAGGCATATGGGCCATGTAGAGGCAAAAGGTTTTTAGTTTAGAAAGGCATCATGTGCCCGCTCAGTCTTCGGCCGAAAGGCCTGTTTCTGTGATGTTTCTTTGTCCTGGGTAAGAAACAAGGAACTGGTCTTCTTTCTTTATTGAACCCCTCTGTTTGTTGGTCCCAATAAGGTTAACTTAAAACAAAGGATTTTTCCCTCATGCATAGCTCTCCCCACTCCAATATATACTTTAAAAGGGAGACAATTTAACTAGGGTTGATTAAAGAGTGGGTTTGTAAATTGCTCAAACATGAGGAAAAGTAAAAGTCAACACACATGCATAGGGATTAGAAATAAAAAGTGAGAAAAAAAAGTTTTAAAAATGAATGAGCTGTTGGTTTGTCCATGCAAAGTAAATGGCGAAATGTTGCAACCATTAAAATGGGTGATTATAGGGATGTTTACTTTGGCAAATTTAGAGATTTACTACAAGACCATCCAAGATGGAAGACAAGAAAAACTTGTGGATGTAAGAGCTTCTCCTTTCTTGAGGTATTTTCAGTGTTGGAGCTGATTTCCTCAAATTCTAGGAGCAGTAATTAGTGTTTGCTAAACTGTTGCATTGTTTTGGAACTTCGGCAAAAGAAGATCAAAACAACGACACTTTAAAAAGGAGGAAGACAGAAAAAGGCAGTGACCACATGGGCAGTGATTCAAACAGAGAAAGAAACATACACCACTGTCTGACCCAGCAGTAACCTGCACAGCTGCTGCCTTTGTCGTCTGGCTTCAAGTATCTCCGGACATGCTCTCTAGCCTCTTCACTATTCTTTCACACTTTAATATGCCCCTTAAAATCTGTCACTTTAACTAAGCTTTGTCTCCTTTTATATCAGTTTATGTAGCTCAAACAACTTGTCAAATAAATTTTGTTTCAAAACACTCAGGCAAAGTCCTTTGGGACAATTTGTTACTGTAAAAGGCTATATAAATGCAGGTCATTATACATCATATGAAATCCAGAACTTTGTATGAAGTTGATTCTAACAGTGGGTTGTATGTAGAATGCTTTCTTCTTGCATTGTCACAGTGCAGTATGAAGTTGAAGGTTGTCCAATTCCCCATTACAATCTTCAGGAAGGAAACCCCAAACTGAAATATTTGGAAAGCCATTTACCAGTCACAAAGAGTTGAACATCATTGACTATGGCCACTAAGCAAGACTCCTACTTATCCTGTTTAGGTGACAGGCAAATCTGGGTTGATTGGCAGAAAAGAAATATAAGAGACAAATAGTTGAGATAGTTATAGGACAGAGATAGTAGGAACTGCAGATGCTGGAAAATCTGAGATAACAAGGTGTAGAGCTGGATGAACACAGTAGGCCAAGCAGCAGGAAGGCTGACATTTTCTGAAGAAGGGTCTAGGCCTGAAACGTCAGCCTTCCTGCTCCTATGATGCTGCTTGGCCTGCTGTGTTCATCCAGCTCTACACCTTGTTATCTCATAGTTATAGGACAATCTCTTTAAAGCAACTTCAAGCAGTGCAACTGTAAATGTAAAATGATAAAAGCTAACTTTTTAACCTTTCAACAGATGGGAGTGTCATGACTTAACTGGAAAAACTGCACCAATAAAGCAAGTCTCACAGTTTCACAAGCTATCACAAATGTGCAAACATCCATTATATCACCAAGATGACCAATTTTCCTGACTGTCAGTCTGGACAAAAGCAATTTACACCAGGGTTTGTCATAAGCAGAAAATAACTATTTATTGTAAACACACCTAATTTGAACAAATGGCAGAGAAAATAAATGATTACTCAGCTAATACTGTGCAACTTAAACTCCATCGTTTAAAAACACCAACTATACTCTCACAGCAATTCACGATTAAGACAAATTGATGGTTTGACACAAATGTTATGGCTGGAAATATACAACAGGAAAAACAAATATTCTGAAGATCAAAAGTCCAGATCACAGAGGTAGGTTAAATTGTCCCTCAGTTCCTTTTGATTTTAAAATGATGATCTGCTGTTATCTGTAAACCAATGGTCAAACTTCACTTCAGTAGTTAAGCTGGTGTACCTAGATCTTTTCTTGTATTAGAATTCTTTAAGGTTCTTGTTTTTTTTCTTGTTTTTCATTCACACTGAGAGAAGGGAGAGGCAGAAGTTTTCTGTTTGTCAACTCTGAAGGTCCCTGCAATTACAGATCTGTAACAAACTCCAGTTGGACCAGTCCAAGGGCTATCATGTAGATTTTTCCATAACCCAAAACTCCTAGTGCCACTGTCTCAAAGTGACAAAGTAACAATCTCACTGCTTCAAAAGCAATATGGTCCTGCACAGCTAAAAACGCACATGACTTGATTTTTCCAAGTTGCAAAACTCTCCTGATATTTCAGCTATTTAGCAGTGTCCAACTTCCATTCCAGTTTATAGATCAAAAAAGAAGAGTGTGCAGTCATTACAAGAGGAATTGTCATTTGAGAAAAAGATTAAGTAAACTGGGCCTATATTCTCTTTTGTTTCAAAGACTAAGAGGTGATCTCATTTAAACGTACAAATTTTTTGTAGGGATCAGCTGGGTAGATGCAGGAAAGCGGCCTCCTCTGACTATTGGGCCTAGAACCAGGCAACAGAGAATAAAAGCAAGGTCATTTAGAACAGAGACAAGGAGGAATTTTTTCACTCAGAAGGTATAAATCATTGGAATTCTCTTCCCTAAAGGGCTGTGGAAGCTCAGTTGTTGAGATCAAGATTGAGATCAATATATTTCTACATATTAAGAACATAAAGGGATACAGGGATAGTACATAAAAATGGTGTTGATGGAGACGTTCAGCGATGATCTCGCCGAATGGAAGACTGGGCTTGAAATGCTGAATGGCCTCTTCCTGCTCTTATTTCTTATTTATGTTACTGGAGCAATGTGATCTGTACAATTTAAGCATTTACTTTTGAATTTGAGTGTTTTATTTCCAGACTTTGGAAAGTGTCTGGGGCAATTGGGAGAATTCTTTTAACTTACAAATCTCTAAAACCCTAATTAAATTCAATGTAATTCAAATAGAAAATATTGTTCATTTAGTACATATTTGTTTCAACCTGCTAAATGACTTTAATAAGATTAACCTCTTCAGGAAGTCAAGGGAATTGTTCATGGAGTTGCTGCTGAATCAAAATACAGTGCCCAGATAGTGAAAATTCTGATTTTCCTGAGATACATAAGCAGTTCTGACAAGTACATGCTTGTCATCCATACAACGTATTGAAAATAATAACAATGCATCATAAAGAGAACTGAGTAACCTTCATCTTGTACCTCACTACGTTAGAATTATGTAGCTATTTTAGACTTTATGGTATAACATTTTGTATAATAGTGTGATCTTATTATGATTGTAGCAAATTTTAAAGTTATGCACAATGTTTCTAGTAATGAAGAATTAAAATTTATTACAGCACTCAGATGGGCATTGTATTTTAAATCATTTGCCAGTTTTCTATTCCAGATAAGACATTCATTATAACCATAGCAACATATGGTAGAGGAGCTTATAGGATTTACTAATTATATCAGGTGACTCAGACAGCCACACCTAATCTCTGGATTTACCAACCATTTGCAGAAGCAGCACTTGTATCCAATCATCTACTTATATTACAAATGCAGATGGAGGTGAATGTACCAAGAGAAAACTGAATTTCATTTACAACGTAGCCAACTCATCATTGTGAGCAAATGATTTTTAGATAAATGTTTTCAATGAATTGCAATTTTTTTCCAAAACAGTTTACCTCAAATCTATTCTATAATGAGAATAAATAATACATAACAGTACTTAAATATAAGACAATATAAACATATTTAATGAACTACATTACTGAATTTCCAAATATCTACTAAATAGAGAAAAACATGATTGCAATCAAAAAGTTAGTTAATCAAACACACAGGAATTACTGAATTTATAACATAGTCACAGGTAAGATGGACATATTTATGTTAAGGCAACTGAGAACTTTCAATAATACCCATTCTGAAGTAAAGCAAAAATAGGAAGCGATACTATAATAATAATTAGTAGTAGTGCAGGTAAAGTAGACAATATAATTGTAAATGTACAGTCACTCATTAGTTATACTTACCATGAGGAAAGCTATTTGGTTGCACTACATGTAGGAAAGTACGTGCCAGTTGAAATAAGAATCCTATAATTCCAGGATCATAATATACATTCGACTCATAGTTCACAACAGGGACTGATCCAAAATCCAATGTTTCAGTTTCTGCTGGGTAGTTCCATTGCTGACTTTCACTCACAGTTCTACTACAAAGCATTAGTATAAACACTGTGACCGTAATAGCCATGACTGGAAATACACCTCAAATAAGGAACCTCAAATAAATGTCCTATTTTTTCTGAATTTGAGGGAAAGAGAAAGAAAACAAAAAGTCTTTCAACAATGTAGTTCCAGAAAACAGGAAATTTGGGAGCCACTTCAGCCTTGTTATTTCTGTGATGGCATTATTTTGAACAGATTTCACTTTGACAGTCAAGTTAAAAAAAAATGCAGGGGAATTTCCAAGTTCTTCATCCAGTATTCAGAATGCACTCTGATTTCAAATTCCAAATAAATTCATGTCCTGCAGAAATTGATTTAGTACATCATGTCTGACACAGAAAACGAGAGGTAGAAAGGTGACTGAAGATGCTGTTGCCTTAGCTCCTTAAACTATTGCTCAGCAGAAAGTCTTGTCTGTCGACAGAGGGGTAGGTCAACCTGCTCACTGGGGAGTATTAGCTGGTACAGCACTAGCAGCATGCCTCAAAGACGCTTATCTGTAATAGAACAATACAGCATCTTAGCCTGTAAGTTACAATTAATCCAACCCATACTGCCTAGTGTTCAATGAAGAAAATAAATTCTTAGGCAAAATTAAATGACTTTTATACTGTAATGAACTGGTCATGAACAGCAAAATCAAACAACTCAAAGAGAACAAAATTATAACAATTTAATAAATAGTCTAAACACTTGAAATATAAATTATTTGTTCAAAAAATACTATATGCTTATCATTTGTAATTTTAGTTGTCATAACCATATTTAAATAGTTTAAATATATACAAATGTATTTTTCCCTGAGAATATTGAAGCACAAAGTAATATATTTTTGCATTTCAAACAATCAATATTTTTGACTCAAGACTTTTTTTAAAAAACAGGAATAGTGTTTAGTAAGAAAATAAGAAAAACATGTGATCCGGAAAGGGACATTCTCATATTCATTTATAAGTGCAGACCAGGGCATACTCCCGTTTCCTCAGAGAGTAAGCTTCATAAAATGTAAAAAGTAACGTCCATGTTTGCACTGTGAAGACCAATGTCTTTTTAGTTTTCTATATTTTGATTGTGGATTGAAATGAGAAAAGGACAGTTTTATAATTTAGGGATTATGGAGAGGATTACTTCACTTTTAATAACAATTTACCTGACATTCATTATAAATGCTGTTTACACTGCTGTTTAGTCAAGCAGTGGGGACGTTGTTGCAGATGAGCAAAGGGATGTAACCAAAAGGAAATTCAGTTAACAAGTAGCTGATAGGTCTGTGGATGGTGATTAGTTGTCAATGACAAAGGCCTTCTGCCTACCAACAATTACGTGATTATCTTCCAGGTAGCTGAACAGTTTTTGGGTCAGAAGCCTTTGGACATCTGTAAAAGAAGGAGCTGTCATTTCCTCTGCTGTATAAAGAAAGCCAACTTAATTATCTCAGAGATGGTAGGAACTGCAGATGTTGGAGAATCTGAGATAACAAGGTGTAGAACTAGATGAACACAGCAGGCCAAGCAGCATCGTAGGAGCAGGAAAGCTGACGTTTCGGGCCTAGACCCTTCTTCAGAAAATGATCTCATCAGTTGCTGTAGACTGTGGCTTTTAGCCAATAAGTCAGAGTTTAGAAGCATGAACCAGTTGCCTTTCACCTTCTGCAAACAAGTGAAAGTGCCTAGAAAATGAAGATTTAGGTGTAGCAGGTCCTGATGATCCCAAAGGTTAATCTCAGTGAGTCCTGCGGACAGGAAATATTGAACTGCTTTCTCAGTCTTTCCCTCCTCCCACATCACAGTTTATATTTTGTCTGTAAGTAGGTGTGTGTAGGGGGAGTTTACAAGGGCATTAGAGTTTTCCCTATGAAAATTGGTATTGATGGTTCATAATTGTGACAAGAATCTATTTTTTTCGTAATAATCATTCTTGTTAAGTATGGAAACCTATTCCATGCTTTCTGTCAACCTAGCTCTGAAAAAGACAGGTAAATTGGCTCATTTTGTGTACTTTTATGAAACTTTTAACTTTTGTAATGACTCTGGAATAACAAGGCTTGATAACAAGCATACTATTCTAGTGAGGTAGAACAGAAAAGAGGATATGATGGCAGTACAATAAAAGGCAGCTCACAGAAACTGAAAGTGGTATTCACAATGCTGACCATCCCACAATGCTGACCATTCCAGCATCAAAATACAGCATACAAGAACTGAAGGGAGAAAGAAAAATAGCAATCTCAAGCTAGTCTCACACCCTTTTGATATGTGAAGGGAGTAGAAGAGCAGTCCAAATAAATACTCAACTACATACATCCACGTCCATGAATTAGATAAACAAAACCCACTAGTCAAAGCATGGGGTTTGATCACTATCAATATTGATTCTCTTTTCAAAAGCAAAAATACTTTGGAAATTAAAACTAAAAATACTGAAATACTCAGCAGATCTGGCAACACCTTTGGAGAGAAAGGAACAAGTTAATGCACTAAATTTTTCCTCCCTGTTACTGCATGGTCGACAGTGAGAACAATGGGAAAATACAACAATTTTCCTAGTTTCCCCTTAAGCTCTAATTGAGTACTTCAGCACCTTGCTATTGAGTAGCAACTATCTTATTTCCTACTTCACCTTATTTCTATGCCACTTTCAATTCTCCTCTGTTTCCCAAAGAAACCAAATGACACAACATGTAAGACACAGCAGGTTTCTGGCAGCTGCTATTTGCAATCGCTTGTCCCAGCCATTATGCAACCATGTTTCAACCAAAATAACACTGCATGCTCTGTTACCGCCACCCTCTTCCACCTTTGGTCCACACAAGTCAGCAGCAGGAAACCACCTCATTATGCCCATCCTCAGACCAACTCAACACTACTCTGATTTTTCAACACTTTACTCTGGAGTTCAGACATACGTACAATTTTCATGTTTGTCACCTCATTTTGTGCATGAGGATACACACACATTTTCTGTGTCTACATAGGATGCATCTAATGGCTCAATCACTTTGTACTTGCCTCAAGGCTGCCAGCCTCTGTATGCTTGACATTTTTTTAAAAAACACAGAGGGAGAAGCAGGCAGCTAGTGAAGATGGAGAGCAGCGAACAGTCAATGACATGGGAATGTCAATGGGTTACATCTATGTACCACCTAAGTATGCACCAGCAACAAGTGCAGTGAAAATACTTCATGTCCATTTATGTGAAGGACATGTCAGAAGATCAAAGCTGAGCTTATGGGGCCAAGAAGGACCACTTTCAGTCAAGGGGGACTGTGACAAGGGACTTACTCCATGCCAGTTCAAGGGGTTGGTGTCACAGTCAACTGGGTGCCCTACTAGAGTCCAGGATCTGTGTACTTGGAATCTAGGGATTAGACCACAGTCAGTCCTGCTGGTCAAGTGCTATCTGTCTGAGATTACACGTAGGTCAGTCAATGGATTGTGGAAACATCCATTCCAGGGACTGAGGGATGCACAATCAGAGCTGTCCAACCAAGTCAGTTCAGGGAGTGGAAGAAGATCAGCCCTAGGGATTTGTTCAATAATGGTCAAAGGAATCATCGTGGAGCAGTTCTTGGAATTCTGCCAGAAGTGAGCAACTCAAGTCTAGGACGATCTTCATTGCACTGCCTCACTGAGGGAACAATTATAGCTGACTGTCAGAATTCTATTCCTCCTTTTGGTTGTGCTACGTATATTTTGACAAGGTGACAAATCTCAGAGCCTTTAAGGGAGGTATGATATTGACCTCCCCATAATGTGTGAAGACATAACGTGAGACTTCATTGTGATGGATGCAAGGGCTCAGGAATATCTTCAATAAAACTGTATCATCTTTCTGGCCTTCTCCACATATTAACTGCTCACACATCTGACAGGGAGACAGCTGTGGATGGAATCATTGTGGTGTTGCTTCAAATCTGAAGACAACATAGAAGATGAAAGCAGTTATACTTTTGTCAAAAGGCCAGAAAGCACACCAACCATCAGCAACTACTGCACAGCCTCATGCAGGAGAAGCAGCAGATGAAAATCCACCAGATAAGGCACAGAAGAATGATCATTTACAGGTCTCACTGTACATTTACTTCAACTTTCTGAAAGATAGCACAAGCCACAGTTTGGGATGTCCTGGAACACCACCAAACTGTGTCAGCTGCTAAAGGAGGATTTGGGCTCAGATGGACTGGGTGGCCATCCCATCCCAGTCAAGGTCACTACTGCCCTGAATTTTTATCCTATTGACTTGCTCCAAAGAGCAGCTGGGGACCTGTACGTTATTTCCCAAACCTCTATCCACAAATGCATTAAGGGATCGAACTGATGCATTTCTTCTGGGTTACAGCTGTTCATATATCATTGTGTTGTGTAAAGGAGAGTCACACAGCTCAGGTAGTTAGCTTCTTTTCCATTGCTGGCTTCCCCCTGGATGCAGGGCAATATTGACCACACCCACATTGTATTGAGAGCATCCTATCACCAACCTGCAGAGTTCATCAACAGACAACGTTTCAAATCTATTAACTTTCAAATTATATAAGACTGCTGCTGTCAAATCTTGGAGGTCTGTGCCCGATATCCTGAGAATTGCTACGAGTCCTACATAGTAAAAATCTTACAGGATCCCATGACTTTTCAAGGTCCTTGAGCCATACAGGAATGGCTTCCGGGAGACACAGCAACACAGCTCATGATACCTTTATAAAACTCTCAGACTGATGCAGAATAAAGATATAACACTATTCACACTTCCAGCAGGCCATAGTAGATCAAAATTGATAGCCCTATGTTATGATTTCAATGCTTGGATTGCTCTAGCAAAGCCTTGCAGTGTCGTCTGAAAGAGTGCGGTGCATCATTGCAGTACACTGTGACCTTCCCAACTGGACCTGACAAATTGGACATACCCTAAATGCAGAAGAAATGGAGAATCAATTTTCTGAGGATGTAGATGAGGATCAGGATATTGATGAAGATGGCCATCCAAGACAGCATGACTGAGCAATGCTTTACTGAGTGCTAAAGACAGAGAAAACCAAATTAAAACTCACTTCCAAGATGAGGAAGTTGGCCTTGGATTTCATTTAATTGTTTAACATTTTCTGTTAATCTGGAAGGCAGCCCCGGTTCAACGCAACAGACACATTGTTATTGTTGCAGTACTTGCTCCCTTCTGTTGCTGAAAAGCTGTGTATCTTTATCCGTTTGAGCATTTACTTCATGATCCCACTTTCAAGTATATAAACATAAATTGAGAGAAAAATCAGCAGTAAACCAAACATTGAATGGCGCTAAAGTTATGAAGTTCTTAAGCTTTCAGCCAGCATAGTGCGTCTAAATGCTACGCAATGAAGTCTCTCATGATAGCTAGTAGGTTGTAAGGAAGCCTGGGGAATCTCCTTTACACCTTTCCCTCAGCAGTAACCCATCAATGTTTCAAAGTGCACATAGACTACCAAGTTGTACTGAAGTGCTTGAGCGTCCTGTACGACAGTGCTCAATTT